AACAGCATGAATAACATAAATGACCGATTTACCCCCCAATATTAATTATTTGAACATCAAAACAAAAAATCATAAAGAGGCCGAAGATGGGGTGTCTCATATGGGAATGAGGGGGTGCTTTAGATAAAGGGTAGGAGTGTCATATTTGTGGCTGAATGGGGACAACACATCATTTATATATGTGCGATTAAGACATGTTTTGTGCAAATAAGCTGTAAGTAAACAACCCAAATGAGTTGTACGAATAAGCCAGATAGATCAATAAGTCTAATTAAGCCGCAAGTAAAAACCCCTTAAGTCTCTTAAATAAAAATAACAAATATTTTCTGATAATTAAAATTAAGTATTATTGATGAAAATTACTGATATAAGTTTTTTTATCAACGATTTTCGACAGATCATCGACAATTATTAGATCTGAGCATCCACATCAATAATAAAATTCTAGTCAAAATGGGCACCAATGAAATTTATACATCTTTCACTACATCAACAATTAATTTATCATTTATAATATATTTTTTTTAATCATTTGTAATTAATTAAGTCTTGTTTAACTATGAATATTAGTCTAAGCATTTATAATTTCATTAATAGAATTAATAATTTATATTTTAAATGATAATAAATAATGTAATAGTTAAAGTGTCGATGTCTTATTTAAATTTATTTCTTAAATACTTTTTAAGAAATATTTAATTTATTAACTAAATAAATAAATTTTACTTAAAGAAACTAATATAATCAATTTATTAACTCATTCTAATAAAACAATATAATATTATCAATAAATTTAATTTTGTATTTTTATTAAGAATGGGCCCATCTATCCTAGATGGCATGTAGAGGTGGTCAAAAATCGGTCACGGGCTAGACATAACTGGGTTTAAATCGGTCTCAGTCTTAAAAACACTATTTTCATAACCAGTCCTAATAAAAAAATCCAAGGCCCAGTTAAGGCACGGTTCCCGAGTGGGCCATGCCCAAACCGTGGAACGGATAATCATGTAATCGTTGACCGTCGTTATTATAACAACCAATAGTAAGGAGTAGGAAGAAACAAAAAAAACTAAACAAAAAAAACTAGTAGTAAGGTAAAACATAAAACATTACATCACAGGGTCGATGATTTAGGAGAAAGAAAGCAGTCGACTTTGGAGGCGTCGACGAAGAAGAGGAAGGCGATTTTTAAGAGATATGTGTTACGTATCACATCTTTATCGCAGATGAAACATACATCTGATTCCTTTCTATATCACACGATTATCGCAGTGTGAGTATCACACGATTAGAGTGAAGACAGGTTTAATGCAATAAAAACTTATATAAAATCACACTATGATTATGTATTCAGATTTCAGACTTCAGTACTATCTCTTATTAATCAGAAGTGAAATAAGACTTCAGATTTCAATATCTATTAAAAAAACAAACATCGCCTAATAGGTAAGTCTGAATCAAAATAAAAGACTTATGGGGCGTTTGGTTCGTAGAATGAAATTTGATGGAATTGGAATTCATCAAATGAATTTGACTTTGAGAAAATGGAATAGAATCTGATGGAATTTGACCATGTCTTGTGATTGCATTTGGTTGCATGGAATTGGAATAGAGTTCTTAACGAAATTGGAATTTTTTTTGTTTGGTTCACGGAATTCAACTTTGGAATCGGAATTAAATATCAACAAATGACCTTTTATGATTTTCTTGTCATTTTTTTAAAAAATTAAAATTACCATTAAACCAAATTACATTATTAACATCAGGTAAAATTTGAAATTATTCGCTTATATTACTAATATTTGAAATTGTTCACTACAAATTACTAAGATCTGATAACATCTAGAACTATTAACTACATACTTATTTCCAAAACCCAAATTCAAGTTGTCAAATCATAAGCAAAATCAACCTTCCAACACAAACCTCACCCATTCCTCTCGCTCCCTTTTTCCAAACTCCAAAAAAGTAACGGTACGAGATTGGAGATCGAATTTTGTTTGAGAGAGAGAGAGAGAGAGAGAACGTACCAGATTGGAGATCGAACCAGAAATCAGTAGATGAGATGGTAGACGCGTTGAATGAATTTGGATTAGGGAAGAAATTTGTAGGAAATGAATTGAAATCTTAGCATATTGCCGTGGAATTGTAAAATCTTTGCATGAAGGAATCGCTTGGAATTGAAAGGATTCCATAGTTTTATTCCATGAACCAAACACTCTATTCGGAATTTGGTCAAAGGATTGGACATTTCAATTCCACCAAATTCCCATGATCCAAATAGCCCCTTAGAATTTTGTTATACAAATTCTAAAAAATTATCATTATCTGAATAAAAATTAAAACAAATTATAATATCTTATTTCACATATAATTACTATCAAAATAATAGCAATACTAGTATGTATATTTGAGTAGTTACAATTAAATTAAAAAAAATATAACACAAGATAAGGGTTTTTAGAAAGAACATGACATAACATGAATATATTTGGGGTCGTATGAAAAATCGTTACATGCAGAGGAATTGTTTGCCAACGTACGGGTTCGAGTGTACGATAGTATTTCGAGAAGATCATGTAAAGATTTTATTCTCAAAGACTGTTTGAATTATTGGTTTTATTTTAACTGAGATATTTAAAGTTTCTTTGTAGTTATATTCTTTTATATCCGTTCTTTTTTAGTTTAGTGGGTCCCGTTTCGTTATAATTTTGTTGATAAGAGTCTTAATAAATACAACCACCTTTTAAAAGAAATTGAAATGAAAGCATCATTTTGGAGTGTGAATGAATAATAAGGCAACGTTTCCTATCCACATTTGTTGAACAAAAATCAATAAATTGCACAAAACTACCCAACAATGGATTGATGTACACCAAAGAGGACCTTTGGCCTAATGATATCATAGCCCTTGGCCTTCTAGGAGGTTAAGGGTTCAAACCTTACTATAGATGAAGATGGTGTATGAGTTTATTTGTTGCATTTGTCGTATATAAATATTATATACTTAAAAAAAAGATTGATGTACCCCTCTAAATCACTCCATACCTACATATTCATATACCCAAGGCTCCTCCAATCATACACAACCTTATAATTTACATTTTATTATTTTATATATTATATATATGCACGTTTGTTTATTTATTTATTTATATAAAATCACACTCTAATTTAATCCAATAAAAACTTATATAAAATCATAAGTTATATAAACTAATTTAAAATATATTTAAAAAATTGTTTCATCAAATATAGTGCATCGATAAAGAAAATGACCAAACGAGATAATAAGAAATTGATCAATTGAGCTAATTATGTTTTTAGATTTTCAAAATAGTATTACTATCATGGGTCATAAATTAAGTGGAAATAGATAAATATCAAGAATTTTCAATTTTATTTATAAATTTAATATAAAAGTTAATTATTATAAAAATAATTACGGGTCGAGCAAACCTGCTCAATTTTTTTTGCATCGCCGGTGCTTGACGCCGTAGCCATTTATTTTAACAAGTTAGTTCGGGTTCACACATTTTTTCGAGAATGGTGCTCCAAACTCTTTTGTCTAGCAGTATCGTAGCCCTTGGCCTTCTAGAAGGTCAGGGGTTCAAACCTCACCATACGTGAGGATGATGTGTGAGTTTATTTGTTGCATTTGCCGTATATAAATATTATATACTTCAAAAAGAAAAAAAAACTCTATTGTGAACAATTATAACGTGGAAGACATGTTACCTTAGATAATTATGAAAATCACACCGGAAGGGCGTTGTGGATAATCTTATATTGTATTCAATGAAATGGCAATATGTCAGTGGCTTTAACATTTATCAACGGATCATCGACGGTCCTTAAATTATTTAACTTCATTTTTTAATTATTGATAAATAAATAAAAATAAAACATTGGTGATGATTAATCTACTTTTGTAAAGGAGAGCTTTCATTAAAACATTTCTCGTTTGGAAAGCAGGAACCAGCTTGCTTTGGAGATCCTACATAAGTTCTCGGATCTTCAAAAGCTTCGCGGAGGATCTCGTGGAAAATGCTTCTTCCCCATCCTTTTGCAGTAATATGCTTAGGGTATGTAACACTTTTATTTTATCTGAAAATAATTCACGTCTGCCTTTTGATAATGCTCAAAAACACAAATATCAATTATTTCAAATACATAAAAGCATCTCCAACAATTTCCTTAAACTCCAATTTTAGGATGGGGACGTGAAGCCAATAATTGACATTTTTTTTTGCCTCTTAATAGGTAGTCTCTACATTGTTAAGAAGAAAATCATGTTTGGTATTAAAAAACCTGTCTCTTAATGGTTTAAAAAAACTCTGAGCGATTTTGTATCTTAAGCCTCCTCAAACCATTCAACACCTTAATCTTTCCACGGTTGCCCTTTCACACTCTTAGTCCACTTTCTTTCCATCTGGTGTTTCTCTCACGTTGCTCTCTCATTGTTCTTCAAAGTACAAATCTAATCTGCTTATGTTCAATCATCTAAAACCCTCTATCTACTATTGATTTAAACCCTCAATTTGAATCGAATTTACCATCGGTCTGTCTAGAAAGTCCTACATCGATCTTCTCCATGAATACTCGATTTTAAACCCTTCCTTCGTATATGTATTTTACAAATATACTATCCTTCAACATGCTCCTTACTGTTCATATAGTATGATATGAATATACCACATCAATTCGTTATGTATGGATGATGAGATTTCATTGATACAGAGCTAATTCCAATAGACTTATTGGAGTATACATATTATTTGTTAAAGCAACAACCATCGAATATATATTATTTTGTTAATCACTATATTAAATTTTAACTATAAATTTAAAAAAATATATATAAAATAAGAGATAATTTAGAGAATGCAATATATTTGTTATATTATTAAATATATTAATAATAAAATTAAAAAATTTAAAATAAAGCAATCATTGGAGCTACATATAATTTTAAAATAGATTTTTTCTTGAAAAGCTAAAAACTGTTTTTCGAAACATAACTCATTTAAAAACCGGTTGTGAGATCGTCGGTCACTCTGAAGTTTGATTCTTCAATTCGTGACTCTCATCTTTCAATGGAATCAGGTACGAAATCACCGGCGTGGCTCGCCTTGCCCTTGAAAACACGAATTTTGGTTTCGATTCTCGGCGTCGCAACCGACATACCTAGAAGGAAAGACGGCACCGTCAACCGCTGTCTCGCCAAAGTGCTCGACTGTCGGACGCCGCCGACGCCCAAACCCAGAGACGGTGTCAAGACATATGACGTCGTCGTGGATCCAGCTCGCAAGCTGTCGTTTCGTGTGTTTATCCCAATAGACTACGCCGTTGAAGATCTTCCGGTGGTTGTGTTCTTTCATGGAGGTGGATTCGTCTTCCTCTCCCCTGCCATGAAGGTCTACGACGCTGTGTGCCGTCGGTTCGCCAAAGGTTTTCCTGCAATCATTGTTTCCGTCGATTACCGTCTTGCACCGGAGCACCCGTACCCTGCGCCACATGATGATTCCTTTGATGTGTTGAAATTCCTCGATGATGATCATGAAAATAGCTCGAAACCATTACCGGAGAATGTTAACATTTCGCGCTGCTTTGTTGCTGGAGATAGCGCTGGCGGAAACCTAGCTCATCACGTTGCTCAACGAGCCTCCGAATTCAACTTCCGTCGACTCAAGGTACATCAATCCATTGCTTAACTAGCTAGATCTTCGTTTATACATCCAATTAATCCACTGAAAGTTTGTTAATCATTCGGATCATTTGTTTAGCTAAAATGCATGAATGATGTTTGAAGGTAATCGGCGTGTTGGCGATTCAACCGTTCTTTGGAGGAATAGAACGAACAGATTCCGAGATAAGACTGGATGGAACACCTCCGTTGTCGATGAAACGGACAGATTGGTATTGGCATGCGTTGATGCCGGCAAGTGACCGCGACGATCCGATCATCAATGTGAGTGGGCCAAAAGCGGTGGACATATCAAAGATAGATTTTCCGGCAACGATGGTGATTGTGGGTGGGTTGGATACTCTACAGGACTGGCAGAAAAGGTACCACGAGTGGCTGCGTGATTCAGGGAAAGAAGCATCCTTGTTCGAGTACCCAAGCATGTTCCATGGTTTCTGCGTCTTCCCGGATTTGCCTGAATCCCAACAACTTATATCAGACATCAAGGACTTCATTCACAGAATATTAGACACGGTAATTAATAGGTTTAATCATAAAGATAGTTGCCGTTTACTTGATTGCTTATCTAGTAAGCGTTCACCGATAAAAGTCAATACTAAGATTTATTTTTGATGCATAAGATTTTAGTATATCAAAATATATTGAATACAACAATTTAGCGGGTAAGCGCGCTTACCTGGGTAAGGGTCGTCATCCTCACTAACCGAGTAAGACTCTCTATCATTCTCATCATTCTTACACGGTAAGATTCTTGACCCTTCTCATGTTCATCTGAGGAAATTTATCCGGTAAGTAATTACGTAAGTGTTTAGTAAACAAGTCTCTACTTCCATATTTTCCTCAATTGTTCATAATGAACCAAAATCCCACCACTATTTCATAAAAAAAATAAAAAAAAACTAATTTTAATTACTCCCTTCGTTCCAAATCAAGTATAGCATATTACTATTTTAGTTTGTTACAACCCAATTCTCTCTCTCTCTATATATATATATATGTAACTTCAATTTTGGTGTCTTTTTCCCACTTGCAGGTCTAAGCTTAATACAATAAACAAGAAGATGAACCGATATGGTTCGTTAACCCGATGTTTGTACTTTTATTTTCTATTGTTTTGGTTATTGAATTTCATTCTTGTTAAGAATATCATATATAAATATTATATACTAGAAAAATAATTTTAATGCTTGGTTGACGTGATCCCCATTTCAAATCCAATATAAAAAAAATACAGTAACTTAGGGGCTGTTTATCCAAATGCTTACCCAATAAATGCTTATTGATATGAGTCTAACACTATAGTTTATTTTGATGTGTGAGATTTTAGTACATCAACGCATCGAATGAAACAATTTACCGAGTAAGCATTTACCTGGGTAAGAGTCGTCATCCTCACTTACTGGGTAAGACTCTCCATCTTTTTCATCGCTCTTACTCGGTAAGATTCTTGGCCCTTGTCATATTCATCCGATAAGAAAATTTATCCGGTAAGCACTTACCAAGTAACACTACTAAAAAATCGGGTTTTTCCGACGGCAAAATCCGTCGGAAATCCGTCGGAAAAACAACTTTCCGACGGATTTCCGAC